CTTCAACATGACCTGTTCTGTGGCGTTGGTTATCAAGACTACACACAGCCTTCTGCCACGTACACTTTCAATTATATTTGACATAGATGGACGCCAATGCCATGATACTTCACTAAACCAACATCATCTCTCTTGCTCTTTCTCTGCCTCTTCCCCTCCAACTGTCCGTTGTCATGACTTACTCTAGTTTAGGCACTGCTGCAATAATGTCTTTGCGTGACACAGAATGTAGAAAGGATCAGTGTTTCAGCCACAGCCTTTCTTGACAGGAACCACACAACCAGAACATAGAACAAAGTGCTTCACTTGTTGTTGTGTGTAGTTCATATCGACAGAGTGAAAGTAAAATCCCTTTTCCACGCCATCAGGCGTACTGAACGTATAGGGCTAGGCCTATATTTTACAGAACACTCGGCACTTGGTGGGTGATCTGGTCAGTATCACGGCGACCGTCTTGACTTCTCAGGACTGCACCTTGTACCCACTCAAGTCTGTGTCGAGCTGGGAGGAAAAAAAACAATCCGGCTCTGTGAAAACCCGAACCCACGGCCCTGTTATCAGCGTCCAACCGCTATACCAAGGCTGACTCCTATGTGGAGAAAGGCGACGGCCAAAACTTTGTTTACCTCTTGTTGTGTATGTTGTTTCCCCTTCTCTCTTTCGTTAAGCTTTTCAGTCACAGTTTACTGGACTGATTTCTTTACCGGTCACCCCTGTTTGCACATCTCCAACAGTGAATGCTATGTGCGACAATGTATAATTGCAGGTGCGCGCGCACACACGCACGCACGCGCACGCACGCACGCGCGCACACAGAGAGAGAGAGAGAGAGAGAGAGAGAGAGAGAGAGAGAGAGTAACGCAGCGCATTTCAATATAATTTAAACACATAATTAAAGCAGTGATGTTTCAATTTGTAAGCGCTGACAATGGCAGCCCACGAAAGTGCCAGGACAGCTTATTGTCAAATCAAAGAGCAAACAAACAGACATCATCACAAGTCGTTGCTTACACCGACAGAAACTCTAACGACTGATAATTGCCTCTCTGTTTGTGGGTTTTCAGACAGGGCCTTTATCAAAGCGTGAGTTTGGTCTGCTACAAATACAGCCCCAGACTACTAAAGAGACTTTGGGAAGCAGCAAGATAATTTTATAAACAGAAATCGATTGGCACTAGTGAAGTGGGTTTCTTAATTATTATCTTACCCCAGACGACGTCATAGGACAGTTCAACATTTTAGAGGGTGGTCAGACTGGGTTTCTTGGCTTTCTGATGCTTTTAATCACCCCAAAACATCTAGAACTGGCCCTAACCCCACCCCACCTATTTCCCACGACAGAGTGCAGCCTAGGTCCCACAACTGCATGCAGCCTATCTACCACCCCCTGAAATATTAGACTGTCCCGTGACCTGTGGATTTTCCCTATTTGGGGTAGGATATTAATAAAGCACTGTGAAGTGGAGACTTCTTATTTCTTGTCTTCTATTTTTATTCTCCATCTTTCCATGTGTGGGTTACCAGCCCCATTGCAGGGGGCAAATAAGAACAGAAGCACTGTATCCACAATAAACTTGTCATAAAAGTTGACTTATATAGGGTCTCCTTGAAAGTAAGAGTGCATCTACTGGACAGGCGACAAACCAACAGTCTGCATACACACACATAAAAGCCAAATGTATAAAACGGGTATGTACGCAACAAGTGGATAAATAACCAGAATTTTCCATCGGAGATAACAGAAGGTAAACGCGATGAAGAGGAGAAGACTTGCCATCCCATCCTCACCATCCTCCTACTACTGCTGCCGAGGCTGAGGCCACCGTAATCAAATCATGGCGTCCTCTCCACAGAACAATGCCTTGTATTTTAGAGACCATGTGTTGCCCTGACATCTCTCTCAGCCTGCCTTGTTTACCCCAAAGTAAAGGTAACAGCAATAAGCGTCTAAAAAATATTCTCTAGGAATTTCATTCCTCCTCTTCACAGTAAAAACATCTAGTACTTTAATTTTAGTTCACCCTATCTCAGGGAATCGTAGAGTTCCTGAGAAATTCCAGTAATATGGGGGAGGGAGAAGGGTTAGGGTTAAAGTTAGTCAGTGCTCATTTTACACGTTAACACTCCTAACTCTCCGATCTCCCAAGAAGAATGAACTAAAATAAAAGTACCCAAAGCCTGGGCAGTACTGTAGAGACCATGTGTTGCTAATGCAGCACGCACCCTCTCTCCACCTGCATTATTTACTACAAAGGAACATGTAACACTACCAACAGGTCAAACTTACCCCCTTGTACAAGACATCAGTTTGCTCCTTGGCGCTGACTCCGCCGATGATGAGCAGGTCCCGCACCTCCGGGTTGCTAAGATACTTCTTGAATTTCCGGATCTGGGTCAGGGTCTGTGGACGCAAGGAGACAGCCATCAGCATCCCTACTGCTTGAAGTGTGGAAACATTAGTAAACATCTATGGGTTGGTTTCAATGGAATGGAGGAACAGACTTGAGCCCTACGTAACTACTGTCCTTTGTGACATTTAAGGGCACACCAGGAATAAAGAAGATCATGAGTGGGTACTAAATAATCTATGAGTCGGTAAGAGTTTCTTATGTAATAAATCACTCTCATTGAACACCAGAAAACGAGTACTGGAATGTTAAATCGAGCCAGTTGTGTTGTATGGTAGTGAATCTTGGAATGTGAGCAAACAATTTATGATTTTTGAAGCAACTGAGATGTGGTTCTTGAGAAGAATGTCGCGAACACCTTGGACTGCCAGAACAACTAACACTGATGGCCTGGAAATGGCTAATGAAAGTAGAACTTTATATACAATAATGAAAAGGAGACACAGTTCTCTGGTCATGTGATGAGAAAAGGGGCACTGGAAAATAACTGAAAAGATCACTGGTAGAAGAAGAGGCAGAGGAAAAACCAAGAGAAATTATGAAGGATGGCTTAAAACAGCAAAAGTTAGTTGGGTATCCTTTACAGGACATTGCAGAACCAATCAAACCAGTTTTTTTTTTTTTTTTTTTTTTTTTTGGGGGGGGGGGGGGGAGTCTCGTGGTTTTTTGGGGGAAAAATTAACGTCCGGTAATTTACCACCAACCCTGGACGGTCGGCTTCTCGATACCACTGGCGAAACCAACGCAAACGCGCAAGGCCCGCAGCTGGGATCGAACCCAGCACCCCGGCATTACAAAGCTCGTTCACAATGCCTAAGCCACAGAAGCCGACCTTCAGACAGGAACATCTTCAGTGGAATTGATTCAGAACACCACAGACCGAGATCTGTGGAAATGGATGAACGCCTACGCCAGCTGGCAAGGCCAATGGATGTCGATGGGTAAGAATAGAACGGAGAATACACTTGAGGCGTATGTGACACACAACAGCACAACATGAAAACATGATGATGACTGTGCGGTTACCCATGAGGTTCAGAAGCTCCACATGGAAGCAGGGCAAAAGGGGAGAATAACAGTCACACTGAACTTCTAACATGCATATAGTAAAGGGCGACGGTAGGTACTTTTCTATAGAAATCATAGTTCATCTGCAGAAGAGGTCAGGGAACAACAGTCTGCATTTAAATACACTAGATCTGTAAAAATGATGACAAAACCCTCGGCAGGTGAAAAAAAAGTAATGAAAGAAACTCTTCACCAGAGGAGACAATCTACAATCTTTCGTCTTGTAATAAGGAGAAAGCTGGAGTAAATCATGACCGGGGGGGGGGGGACTTGAAGAATAAGATGCTGGACAGTTTGATATTAGGGCATGAAAAACCATCTGTGTCAGAATTGGCTGGAAGTATGCGAGACCGAAGGTTGTGGGCAGATATGACTACCAGTGTCACGAGACATGGGTTATGTGAGAGATTATCTGTGATGGCATCGACTGAAAGTACACGAGACAGGAGGTTGTGGGCAGACATGACAACCAATGTCACAGGGCATGGATTGTCGAAGGTCATCTGTGATGGCATCGATTGAAAGTACACGAGACAGGAGGTTGTGGATAGATATGACTACCAGTGTCACGAAGTATGCATTATGGGAGATTATCTGTGATGGCATCGACTGAAAAGTGCATGAGATATAAGGTTGTGGATAGACATGACAACCAATGACACACGGTATGGACTAGAAGAAGAAAAAGAAGAAGAAAGAAGCAGCAAAGTAGACAAAGAAGCGACATATGACGGAAAGGGATGTATGCAGAGATGTAGGTAAAACGGAAGATAGGCAGGCACATATGTAGATGGTTAGACAGGTAAGTAATTAGTGAGATAGACAAGACGAAGACGAAACATAACTATAATTAATAATGCGAGTCACGCACCTTCAATGTGAATGTATCATATTCAACCATACTCGATGTGTGTGCGTGCGCGAGTGTGTTTGTGTTTATGCACACGCATACACACGCTTCATAAAAAGTATTATGGCCTCCTATTCATTCATACTCCACAAACACCAATAGTGTGGTCCCTATTCATTTCTCTCCACCCCCTCACATACAAAAACTTGCACACACTCCACATCTAAAACACACTTGCACACACACAACATCTACCACAAATATCTCATCAAGCGCGCGCACACACACACCATATCTACCCCACACACATCATATCTACTACACACATCACATCAACCGCACACTGGCTCACACACCACATATTCCCCACACACACACACATCACATCTACCACACATTCGCACACACAGCACATCTACCCCACACACAAACATCATATCTACCACACACATCACATCAACCGCACTCTCGCACACACATCACATCTACCACACACACATCATATCTACCACACACATCATATCTACCACACACATCACATCTACCACACACTCGCACATCTACCACACAGATCACATCTACCACACACTCGCACATCTACCACACACATCACATATACCACACACTCGTACACACAGCACATCTACCACCGCCACTACGCACGAGTCCCTCACCTGCTCAGCAAGCTCTCTGGATGGCTGAAACAAGGAAAACAACAACACATTATTTTGTGTAACCGTAACAAAATCAGTATGCCTGATGCTGTAGATTCACAGATCGTGCCTATTCAAAACAACACAAAAATCTGCTATAGTTACCCTGCCGGGAATCGATCTCGTCACTTTCAAACGAGGAATGCGCCTCGTTGTGGACATAGGTGTATCAAGCGCATGACCAACTAAGCACCCATAAAACATGTTTACTCCTCAGACTTGTCTACTGTACAGCTTTTTAAATCAAAAAGTATGGAATACGTACAGAATTCGTCTCAAACCAACTGAAGTGGCACTATCAGTTACACAAATTTATATTAAAACAGGATAGTTTGTAACAGGACTCGCCAGATTTGTAACTGGGCTCGCCAGATTTGAAATGGGCCAGAATGATTGCTAAGTGTTTTGATGTATGTTTTGCTTCTATTCGTATCACTGTCCGTTTGTATCGTATGCTGATTAGGACTCTTTAGCCGCAACGTTCTTGTATTCGTACGTGCTTGTGGTACTATGAAGCTTGGTTCTACTCCTTGTCCCAACTAACTTCATTTGCACATGGCGTATAACGGTAGCGGCTGTTATGTCGCGCCTAGGCGCTTGCCTGTGGCTCCGAAGGTCGCGGGTTCAAATTTCCGCGGAGCCGGATTTTTTTTTTTTTTTTTAAGCATGACCATGGCTCCCAGGTCAACCCAGCCTTAAACGGGTACCAAGTTAAGTCCTGTGAAGTAAAGGGGCAACCCTCCACCCAACCCCCCAAATCCCTATTTTTTTTTTCTCTCTACACCGGCATCCTAGTAACAGTTAAAGTGTATTTCTTTGTATTCTCAGTTCCCTGTGTGGGTTCCAGGGCCCCATTGTGGGCTGAACAAAGAATGAATGGACCCACTGTCTCGGTAATACCCATGTCGTAACAGTCGACACATTAGGTGTTTCCTTCCGTTGGAGTGCCTGGTAGGTGCAGAACCAACAGTCTGCATACAAATAAGCCAGATCTGTAAATCGGAAATACATAAAGAATTAAAGTTCTGGAGCAAAACCATTGTCTAAAAGTGGACGAACAACCAGAGTTTACAGCCGTTAAATGCAGAAAAAAAAATAAGGTTTTCTATAAGCTGTCTCCGTAAGAAAGGCTGACTACAGCATACCTACTGCTATCGTTGGGAATATTACGAGGACCCAATCTCTTTCACTGTGAGACTCTCATGCTACTGATTTTCCGAAAATTTCTCCAACTGCGTTTTTACTAATAAAAGAAATAAAAGTGTTAACAATAGAAATGAGATGTATGAGAAAGGCTGCAGGTAGCTTTACGGGGGTGTCACGTGCCTGATTTAAGAATTTCTCCTTAAGAACTAACAGCCCTCTGAAATAATAATGTTGAGTTGTTGGCTCGTATGGGTCTAAGGGATATCCCGTGGCCAATATACGCTCAACTTATTCCAGGGGTAGGGCAACTCAAGCTTTGGCACTACAAAATATATAATATTCCTAGGCACACTTGGCTGGACATCCCTACTACTATAAAAAGATAGCCCCCAGGTTATGATAGTAACACAGATACCACTTATTACTCACATAAACATAAAAGCTAGACAGTTAGAATGGTGAAACAGGGACACCCAAGTCAGCCATGAAAATTTATGCTTGTAATAAGTACAATATATATATATACATTAGACCCATATATATATATATATATATATATATATATATATATATATATATATATATATATATATATTAATGAATAGATAATCAAGAATGGAGTTCAGGGATCAATGACACAACCCAGATATTGAAGCAGCCAGATGAAGTTCTTGGATATTACATGAGTTCTTCATAGGAATCACAAGGAGCTGTGGGAAGAGAGCATGTATTTGAATAAGAGATCACTTAGCCCAGTTCGTAGATCAATGCTCCCCTCAGTCCATGGTGATTTGACTGTGGTTGACTCAATAGGTAGCCATGCCTTGATTTGATCTGGTACAAGCTGACTGTCTCACAGGTGAGGACACAGGAACTGCATAAGAGCCCAACAAAGCTCTTGAAGACTGATTCTCTGGATTAATGACATAGGTGTCTGCAATTGTCCACCAGTCCTGGAACTCACAAACAAGCTCTTGCCATGTTGAGGTAGTGGCAACAATAGGTAGGACTTTTTGGTATACTTGGTGCCCAGAATGGTATGGGTTGGTGGTTGTTGGTTGGACTGTGATTCGTCTGCCTGATCTCTAAGGAGGTATCATCCCAAGCTAGGAATTCTTCCAAGATAAAATTGGTACTTAAAATGCGCCAATTTTATTTATAGACTGTATACACGTCTTGACACTTTGGGAATCAGGCTGAAGAATGCCGCTCAAAACTAAACTTGGCGTCTCTAGGAAAGAAGTCTCTGTATTCATGCCCAAGGAGTAAACAGGCTTACAGGAATTTCTGAATTAAACACCAGAAATCTCCAGCCCACAGTTGCAAGTTTGATCATGAAGATTTCTCAAAGCAACTAGAGGGTCTAGAAATGAATATTTCACCAGATAAAGGTATTTATCAATATAAGGGTCTATATACCCCTTCAGACGGGTTTAAGTTTGAAATATGAAGTGCCCGCTAGGGAAGTCAGCGTCACGACTCGTCTATCATATAGGGTTGGCTGTTTACTCCGCGACAGGGGGAATAATCGTCATGTTTAGCCAGCCTTCCTGAAAGGGGAGCTTTAGTTATATAACTGTTATGTCCGCCACATAAAAAGGCTTAGCACTGCTCGCCACCAAGTAGCTTGGAAAAGAACTCTTGCAGTGTTGATGAGATCACAGGAAACAGACCCAGACACTGTCCAGACCAGTGAGACAGACCCAAACACTGTTCAGACCGGTGAGACAGACCCAAACACTGTCCAGACCGGTGAGACGGACCCAAACACTGTCCAGACCGGTGAGACGGACCCAAACAGTGTCCAGAACTGTGAGACAGACCCAAACACTGTCCAGACCGGTGAGACAGACCCAAACACTGTCCAGACCGGTGAGACGGACCCAAACAGTGTCCAGAACTGTGAGACAGACCCAAACACTGTCCAGACCGGTGAGACAGACCCAAACACTGTCCAGACCGGTGAGACGGACCCAAACACTGTCCAGACTGGTGAGACAGACCCAAACACTGTCCAGACCGGTGAGACAGACCCAAACAGTGTCCAGACCGGTGAGACTGACCCAAACACTGTCCATACCGGTGAGACAGACCTAAACACTGTCCAGACCGTGAGACAGACCCAAACACTCTCCAGACCGGTGAGACAGACCCAAACACTGTCCGGACCGGTGAGACAGACCCAAACACTGTCTAGACCGGTGAGACAGACCCAAACACTGTCCAGACGGGTGAGACAGACTCAAACACTGTCCATTCCGGTGATGAAGTCGTCTAACGGTGAGCCCATGGGCGACCTGGTCGCAAAATTTCTACAGGAGTGACCAGAAGATATTAATCAGAAATGAGATCATAAGAGAAAATGTTGGCACAGAACCAACTCTCAATTGCACAAAATCATGATTTGCCCACCTAGAGAGAATACCCTATGACGCCATATCATGAAAGGCAGACAGTAATAGAGTAGAAGGACATAGATCAGGAGGTAGGCCAAGAATAATATGGAAAAATAACATCAGAAAACTCTTAGAACAGCATGATGTGCTTATGGTAAAGGAAAACAGAAGAGCTAGGAGCAGAACCTTATATCTCCTTCAAATCTGAAGCCGTAAGTAGGAAGTGAAAAAGAGGAAGAAGCGCGGCAGTAATCCAACTCTAGCACTTCGTGATTCTGAAACCGTTAACTGCATTCACAAACACCCAAGCAGTAGTTAGCATCCTTTGGATATTTTCTCCAGGTCACATCAGTGTGTTGGAAAATGAACAGGCAGACAGACTGGCTGGTTCTGTACCACATGGTGGCGAACTGATGTATGACAAGCTAGATATTGTGAGGGTCTTTTGGGAGCGTGTGAACAGTGCGGAGGCACAAACAGATCATTACGGTCTGGATAGATTGGCGCTGCGGGGAGTTACAAAGGGATCCGGCCGACGTTCAACATTGACGGGAAAGGTGAGATGGATATACAATCAGTTACTGGTACTATCGGAATTGGAACTCTTCGCTTGCTGCTGAAGACCGGAACGGAGCACTTATTGGGGGCTGTGGGGGGGGGGGGGGGGGGGGGAGGTCCCAAGTGCTGTGATGTCTATTCTTGATTCAATGTTTAAACCCCCAAGCCAAAGTACATTTATCATACATGCAGATAGATACCAACAAACCGTTGACAGCCACTTGGTACAGCGTGAGTTCAATAACACTTCCGAACAGGGCGCGAGTTTTCAAACAACAAGGCTGAAGAATTCTCTCCCGCTGAGCTCATTAGTCGCCGGCCTAACCTGCTCTCCGCGGTCGCATCTCACAGCCGTCAGCTCCTGCCAGATCGTTTGGCCACGAGAAGAAACACCATGCCTCATTCCCGTGTGGAGATTACGTCATTAACTTTTAACGAACTGCCGTCAAGATATTCCCGGAGCTTTTCATTTGTAGAGGAGCTAAAGAAACTATAAATGTCGTCCGTTTTGAGAATGCCGGAAATAGCTTGCTCGTTATAATTAATCAATTGCAAGAACTGGCTGTGAGCTATGGGTGAGCGAGATAGAAGCAACATCTCTCACGCTGGGAGCTGACAATAAACACGAAAATGTGCACAGACAGAAGCAACGATGGAAGCACGGATAGGTAACCTGTACGGAGAAGTAACTGTGTGTATCCTTCCACCTCTGAACTGTTAGTCTTGTGCCAGAACCTGAGTTTTGCGTGCACACCCAAATTACAAATCTGGTTTACTTGTGCGTAGACTGTTGGTTCGTCGCCTCGCAGACAGATACAATTTTTCTTCTTCTTCTTCTTCTTCTTGTTCAACGGCTGCAAACTTCGGCGGAAAGTTCTGGTTGTACATCCACTTCTGGACTCTAGTCCTGTTCCATAAACGAAGTCTTGCGTGCACATCTGTTTCACAGGTCTGACTCATTAGCATGCAGACTGTTGGTTCCTTGCCTCTCAGGAAGATTTATTCCGACTTCGGAGTAAGCTCCCAATGTCTTACGACATGCTTTTGGGCAGGCAGTGAATCACCTTCATCTGAAGGCGACAGGTTCCAGCCCTGGTATGGTGGTAATTATAGCTTTAGATTCCTCAGTTGTTTACGGTATCCACCTATCTCTTCTTCTTCTACAAGTGTCAATCAACACGTGCTGATTTCTTTCTCACAATCTCTCTTGAAAACTATCAATGTCAAATGCTGAATCAAGAAATGACATCACACAACTCGGGACACTCCCATAAGAGCTCCATCCCCATCTTCAGTAGCAAGGGAACAGTTCCGATTCCAGTGACACCAATAACTGACTGTATATCCTTCTGGAGTGCTGAGCGTAGGCCAGATCCCCTGGTGACTCCCCGCAGCGCCAATCTCCTCAGACCATGATCTATTTGTGCCTCCGCACTGTTCACTCGCTCCCCAAGGGGTTTCACAGCTTCTAGCTTGTCAAACATCAATTCACCACCAGTGGTGCAGAACGGCCAGTCCACCTGTCTGCACTTTTCCCAACAGACCGTTAAATTACTGCCTCACACAAACTATCAAAGACCGAAGAAAACACAACCAACAGCAGAGGTTCTTACCTCTATGATGATCGCTTGTGGAGCGTTCGGAGCGGGAGGCGCATTCGTTGGTCCTGACCCTGCAAAAGAAAGGTGCGGGTATTTCGTCATTCACATAAATAATTATTTTTCGACTTACAATTGGTTAATATATGTTTCTATAACCTATGGTGCCATTTCAATGGTTTGAGATGAATTATGTCCGTATTCCATAGTAATGGATTTTAAGCTGTACGATATGTTTATGTTTATTCGACGAATCAACATCATGGCACAAGGGTGTAACCCATAAGTGCTCCGTTCTACTTCTAAATTAAGCCCTAGTCTGAAGAATCTCAGCACAGTGAACGAACTTCGTTGCACCGGCGAGGATCCTTAAATACTTTGGGTAGATTTGTACTGCAAATTTATGCTACTCTTTTTCAATTTCCAACTGCTAAGGGATTTTTTACTTGCGCAACAATACATACGGTTCTCCGATCTTACTGCCCAGAGACCAGGGGAAATTACTAAAAGTCCATGTGATAAATCCCAGCCTTCACCGGGGGCTTGAACCTGGGACCTCCAGCACTCGATGCGGATACCATGCCTCAAAATCAGTCAACCCTAAGCTGTACGAAAGACATGGCTAGGCACAGGGGTGCCTAGCTGACCGTCTTCTAAATGCGTGTTTCCATAGCGAGGTGCACAAGCCACTTGGAGATGACAGGTTAGATTCCCGGCACGGTCTTTCTACTTCTTTCTATGAGTGCCAATCCATACATTGTCTGTCTGTTTATAACATTAGTCAATGTGTTTTCATAGAATACAATAAATTCAAAAGTAAGCTCAACAACGGGTGAAGGGGAAAACATGCACAGAAACAATCGAGGTTTTCCAGCAAAAGCTGTATCAACACGCACGGAAACAAAAAATGACCGTACAAATGAACGAACTTTGGGCACGTAGGCCCGTCTTCCATTCTGCCACATAATCAGCCCCGCTATATGATCCATACCTTCTCATCAAACAGATATCTAAGCTTCGAATTCGGGTGGATTTATCTGGACACGACCAGAAAGTCTTTGAAGATCTGAAACATGAAATGTTCTAAGCCTTTTGCTGGAGCAGCTGAAGAACTAACTGAATCGTACATCATCACTGGTCAATGAAATCATGAGGGCTAACGGTATGACATGGTTGGGCTAGACAGAGAGAATGGCAGATGGCAGATATGCAAAAACTGTTTACATAAGGAAGTTAAATGGCCGCAGACCACCAGACAGACCAAGAGGACTGGACAAACTACAACTGAAGTCACCAACTAGACAGAGATGGCCACTCACAGACATGGGTGGATGCGGGTGATACCCGCTGCAATTGGCCTCAAGGACTCGGAATACCAAAAAAGAAGAAAGCACCAAATCGAGCACCCAAGCTGTTGAAAAGTAAAGTAACGAAGACAAGCAGTAATGACATCTGCTGCAAGGTGTCTTATAGGAATTAGAACAAAAATCTTCAAGGCAAAAGTGGTCATCAGCCAGAGGATCAAGAGATTCATCAATCAGATGTCAGATGTAGACAGGAAAAAAGTGTTACAGTGTTGTGTAGAATCTGTGTTGTTACATGTATGTTGCTGATGATGACTAGCAACTTTCTGTCTTTCCAGCCAATAGTGTTCTACTGGGCTAAGAGGAGGTATGGGACTCACAGGCCATGGCGATGGCGAGTGTGACTAGCAAGACCTGCCCGCGCAACGTGCGCGTGAAAATCTCCAGTCAGGAGAACTGGACATGGAACCAGAATCTTTCTGTAGCATAGTGAAAACAGCGATGTAATTTAACGGACTTGCGGCGACCGGGTGATGAACTCCTTGTGGTCCGGGTTCACGCCCGGGAGGGGATAGGAAGAAAAGCAAATATCTTCCAGATTTACGGTATTTATCATGGAATCAATGTCTCAGGGTTACGATATCCATAGTACCGAGACAAAGGGTTAACAACTCATGGTTTCTGGATACTTAAAAAAAGGCAGTGATAAGCAATTATTTATTTAAAATAAAAATTCTTTTTTTTAAGCGGGGGGTGGGGGGGGGGGGGGGGGGGGGTTACTTCAGCCATCGTGACCTGCACAGAGACAAATATATTTTCGATATGTTTTCACTTACCCTATTAAAAAGCTTATGTTAAACATATGGGTGGCCAGTCATTACTTGAAGAATAGCTGCCGCGTGATGATTATAGTGACGTTCAACCCCATCAGGACACCACACCGAGCGATAAACACCCGGTGACACAAAGTGCCACAATTCGGATGAGGATCACCCAGGGATAGGTCCCAGAAACTCTGTTCAACCTTTAGGTTGTGATATATTAGGGCCCCCGGCCACAACCAGGGCGGGTCTTTACAACAACAACAAACTGTGTCCGACAGTGGGACGCGGTATCAGTTACTAGGCTGCTGCTAGATGCATTGAGTTCAGTTGTGAAGAGTACTGCGCCTATGGTTTGGTGTACACAATCTGAGAACCCTCATTCACAATGTGTTGTTTGCCTATCTACGTGTGGTAGTTACTTTCGCAAACTGTGATGTCGTGCGATGTACCGATGAAGGTGTTGTTGCATTGGTGGGGCATCACACCGGCCGCCTCTACTTAGCATGACTGCAGCTGATACCCACTCACGGCTGGGCCGACCTGAGAACCAAGGTCATTTTTTTTTTTTAAATGTCAGGCCTCCACCAGGACCCGAACCCACGACCTTCTGATCCGCAGGCGAGCACCTAGCAGCCAGACCACGGCGGCTACCATTAATAAAATTACTTTTAATACATTAAAGATGCAACTAAACGTTAGTCAGCACTTTGTTTATTAAGGCTCCCAACAAAACAAGCCTAGCCAGACACATCGGTATCAATGTAATCAACCCAGTTTGAAGACAAGTCTCGAGAAAGTTAGTACATTCTGGCCTAAGCTAACCTGACAGAAGACAAGTCTAAATGTGGCCAGATTTGCCCTGAAATTCGTAATTTCGGTGAGTGCACAAAGACTACCAGATACCGACTGAGAAACATCACATCAATCGATTTCTGGATAAATACACAAATTATATTAGCTGAAAAAGAGAGACAACAACAGGACGAGAAGCAGCCATAGCACAGCGGGATACCTGTAGTGGTACATAAGACGCTACAAAATGGACGCGGTCAGTAAAACGTATTTTTTATCGAGCTGTAATAATGTAGTTGTTGAGAAGAATGTTGCTAATAGCTTGGACTGCCAGAATAACTAACAATGATTGCCTGGAAATGACTAATGGAAGTAGGACTTTATATACAACAATGGGAAGGAGACAAACAAAATTATGTGGTCATGTGACGAGAAAAGGAGCACTGGAAAATTCCGTGACAACGGGAAAGATCTACTGGTAGAAGCGGCAGACCAAGACAAATGATGGTCGATGGTTTAATACAGTGGCATGAAGGAATATCGTCAGTGAAATTGGTCCAGAAGGCCAAAGACCGAGATCTGTGGAGATGCGTGAACGCCTACGCCAGCTGGCAAGACACTTTATGGTGATGATGATGAGGTAATAACCCCACCCGGGCTGGACTTGAGGTTAACCGTCAGCAGCTCTAATGTGTCCTTACGGTTAAATGGGGTTTCTGGGAGCTGGCTTGCTGGGATTCTCGTCCGAGTAATGATGGACTGCACTTTGCCTCACAGGGTGCTAATCGCTTGGTGCGCAGTCCCAGGGGTGTTCATTTTCACTCACTCACTCACTCACTCATGGTGAACTGTATAAAGGTTTAAAGGCTCTCTAGTCACAACGTTGACCGTCCTTTGTGCGTGTGCTACTGTCAATCTCACTGGTTCTACTTTGTCAGGTTTGCCATCTTCTGATGACACTTGAAAGAAGGACTTTCTTCACGTTAGTGGTGCGTGAGGTAATGATGTTTAACTCATATTTATGCTGATCTATCCGCGATTTATATTTGCTGCGGTCAATACCGCGCAGGCCGCTTTGACTTCCAAGAATATTTCCTGGTGTTAATTTTCGGCTGGATTGACCTTAGAGCCAATCTCTACCACTCTCCCTTACCACAAACCCCACGGTAGGAATTCGAAACCCGAACTTTCGAACCGACAATTAAGCTTCTTTTTAGTAGCCCCCCCCCCCCCCCTTAAACTCTCCTTAAAAGATCCAGTCTTCTTGGGGAGAACTGCAGATCTTCAACATGTTCAGCCGAAATCTTTCAGTGTTATCAAACATGATCTCTCCCGACAATCATCGAGCAGTCATCTAAATGCAAATGACAGGCATCTCGGTGGTTGTGGGACGACTGTGACCCTTAACCAATGCTCGTCACGATGCAGTAAAGGGTCGAAACAGAGCCAACAGAGAAGTGGACCTTTCATGAAGATCCACGATATAATACCCGTGAGGAAGAGGACGTACTCGGTATTGGAAACGATATCAGACAATCAAGGTAGGCACAGAAGTATTACTGTACTTGAAATTATCTCGCTACATGCAGGATCGGCTTGATGGTTCTGAAGAAGATTCAGAGATCAAGTAGAGACCTGAGTTTCATCCCATCTTGATCGTCTCGGCAGCGACATTTAATGGCGAGTAGGGGGAGAATGAGGAGGAGTCGAAGACATAGCATGTTCTTCATATAAAATGCTAGTTTGTTCCTCGTGGTTTAGAACAGTGTTTCATAGCGTGGAGCCCACGCTCCACATGGGGAGATGGGGCAGTCTGATTTCATCGTCTATAGTTTAAAATTACATGGAGGGAAAAAAGGGGAGGGGGTTAATAGGGAGGTCCCATAAGTATTTGAGAAAGGCTTGGGTGGGGACATGGCACAACAAAGCTTAGGAAATACTGGTTTAGAGCAATTCTCTGCCCTATCTCTTCCCACAGAAAATATACACACACACACACACACACACAATTGTACATGTATGTCTAGGTGTGTGCGTGATTGTGCATAGTGCATACAAGCCCCTTCGCCAACTACCCTCATCAGGTACTAGAGACTCCAAGCCACTCGTTTTGGCACAATTCACATTTCTCAGCCAACATAAGTGACACAAAGA